GGGTAAAAAGGACTACCACTCTTGTCAATGTTGTGTAGTTTGAGACTTTAATATAATTGAATGTTATATAAGATGTATTGTTAATTTGAGTTAGATGCAACCCTTATTTTTATATAATCTCTATAAAAGCTTACCGTCGTCTATCTTCTGATAAATTCTGACGTCGTGAGGATTAAGGCGATGTCTGATTACACATATTTTCCCTCTATTTTCTAATATTGTTATTAAAAAAAAACATAGTTTTACTTGTTTTTTTTTTAGATATTGGTGGTGGACTTTTTTACCCGTGAACTTTTAAACCCGCTCTACTCTATTTACTACCGTAATATTTACTAATCCGCACCTCTACATTTTTCTATAAAAGTCATATTTTACTTCGAAGGCAATAACTTTTGAACACTTAGTATTTGCATTTTCTGACGAATTATTTACAAATCTGTGACAGAATCTCAAAAAGAACCGAACATATGGCAGCAGCCTGCAAAAATATTCTAAGATAATTGTTTAGTTATTATAAAAGACACTGAGATAACAAGCAAAAATTTACATATGATGTAAAGATGTAAAGATTCACATATAATAAGAAAACGTGGTACTAGCCTTTAGGCTTATTAAATGTTGAATAACTGCATCATTAAGAAGCAAATTTAAACGGTGTAATAGATTTATCTAGAAAACCTTGACATTGTCTTTATTCATAATAATGACTCTATTTTGCAAATCCCATCATTGAATTTCCGTTTCTATTACGTTTGTCTGTCTTCAAAATTCATGCAATATGCTTATTTATACAAGTCATTTCCTATGAAACAAATTTTAGATTGGAGTTATTTTGGAATTTATTCGAACCAAATGTTCAATGGATTTTCATTTTAACTGTATCAGCTTTTCCTGTTACATTAATAAAACTGAACATAAATATAGTTTTCATATAACAGCAATCACAACTTAACGTGTTCTATGAGCTATTGTCCTAACTTTGGAGTAAAACTTCTTTAGGCGCGACTAGGGTGTAAATCCGTACAAATGCAACGGAAGTGAGTTACGGCAGGTAGGAGTCGATAAGATAAGAGTCGAGTGCCAATGTCACTGTCAATATCACTCTCGATGATATTTCTATTCGGTCGATTGTGGTTAGTCGTCGTGTATGTGAATAGAGATCTGTCGTTGTATGCGTGCCGGCCTCAACGTTTTATGTGTACCGATACCAACATTGAAATCGGCTTAGATAAATAAACATTTTAAAGTTACATCGTAGTACTAATCTTGATTAAATGGAAAATGCCTGAATGAGAAAAATATTATACCCTGTTCCTTGAAAATATTGATCATATTTATGATCAGTAAGTTTATTGATTAGAAATTATTTCTATATTATTCGTAGTTTCTATAAATCTTTGAAGTTATTAAAATGGAAAATATTTCTTAGGCAAGACAGACATTACAGCTGTTAGATTATATCCCCAGCGAAAAAGTAAAAAAATACAGGCAGTCAATGAATGTATGTTAATTTTAATTACATGAAGTTCTTCAAACACAATTACATGGTGAGTGAAGTTGCAAAAACAATATTTGTTTAGGCGTTGTTTAACATAGTCTACAGTGTGAACAAATATTAAAGAATTTATTAATTAGCAATTATTTCATTTCTCTAATGAAGGTTTATTTCTAAATGCTAATTACAATGACAAACCGATCATGTTATATTTGAAGTATGACTTTAATTACATTATTGTTTTTAAATTATATACATATTTTTAATGCTATTATAAATATATAATTTATAATTTATCATGTAAATGTGTATAATGTTTGACACTGATAAATGTGTGCATCACGAGTGTTACCATATACTATAAACATTATTCAAATTTGTTATATGATGTATTTATTTTTACTTAACTTAAAATTGCTACTTTGTACAGTAGCAAATACGTTTTACTGCAATCGCGTGTGATCCTTACTCGCACTCTTTTTTAATGCTTTGGCTTTATAGATGGCAACCCTAAAGGTTGTTCTATCTTTATGTGATAAATATCATGACTCCAATTTCTGTAATACTGATTTTTATTGGTACAGCATGTTCCTATAAGGGCTGCTTTTACTTTTACTTATATTTACATGTGAAAACCGATGTCAATACTGCTTGACGTCAAGCTGTCCGCAGGAGTATCGAATAAATACTACATGTCTGTTTATCGGGGAGCCCTAAATATAGTATTAAATATTTATTGACAATGTGAGAAATCTGCAATGACATGAAAATTAGAATGAGGATTAGATTGTGAAATTCTTTGATAATAATATTCTGTGATGTTTTAAGATAAGTATATAAACATTTCGTTGTACAAAAATAATTTTGTTAAATAAGGTTTTAGAAATTGTTGGAATAAACACTATGTTACAAAGAAAACCTGATATATTCGTGAGTAGTCATTAGTAAGGAGAATTGACACCCACCATATAGTTTTTAAAATTTCAAATCTATTATCTATATACTACGATTAGTCATTACACACTAAAATTACATTCTACCAAATTTTTACTACGGGATTTTTAATTTTCAGAATCATACAAAAAATATGTTTACCAGTAATAGGGAGGAAGTAGTTCAACCAATTTTCAGTAAATGCGTTTTCCAGGTGCTATTTTTGAAACGTTTGGAATATTTTTAATGCATTCAGGTTTAAGAAAATGTATTCATAAATGATAATGTTAATGATTGTTAATTGAACATTTTCTGAAACGGTTTAGTTTTTAATATTTTTATAAAACGCAGTTATCTTTTGGTCTTATATATTTTTAACTTCCTGTAGGATGAGGTATATTATTCGCAAAAATAACGAAAATAAATATATATATATATATATATATATATATATATATATATTTATATATATATTACGTTTTAGAAGTTTCTGAACATTTTGGCATACCTTAGAAAAAATGGCTTGTGTTGAAGAAGCCATTGCTTTAGCAAAAAAAAAATTACATTTCATTTTTTCGAAAATAATTCAGATTTCAATTTTAAATCTGGTTAAAGTTCTAAAGCTCACTTATATACGTAGTAAATTTTATATTCCTCTAACAAATTGTAAGTTGAGAAAACTACTTCAATATGTTGCATAAATCTGCTTCTCTTTTCGCCAGCAATCTAAATTTTCTAAATATCTTTCTTGTTCCCTTATACACTTGCGTCAAGAATTAAAATAACTTTATCATATCAATTTGGCAAGTCCACCAGAAATAAACACGTGTATGCTATTTAATTTTAATAAAATAGATTTGAAGTCTCTTTCAATAAGCTACAAATGTCAGACGCCATCTGCGGCAATTAATTTGTAAATTTATGAAGTTTTAACAAGCGTTTTACTGGGCGCGGTCTGGTGACCAGAAAATCTCTTGGCATCAGGAACAGTTGTTGATGTGAAATAATTAAGGACAAATTTATTTTATTTTTATTCGCACAGTAAGCTTTACTACTTTAATACTAACTTTATTATTGTTGTACTAGATACAACTGAACTTCATCCTTCATCTGATGTAAATGAAAAAAAAAATTTTTAACAGCTATATAAAGGATTTTTCAACCTTGCAGCAACTCTCTACATGTATGTGGAACTAGAGAATCCTTTATCAAATCATTTTTAAATCAGAAACAGCTTTAAATTTTTTGGATATAAATTATATAATATTGAACGTTTGTTAAAAAAATCAAATATAACTAGTGGGGCGCATGGCATCGTGTCTTAAGGCAAA